TATAATATATTACATAAAATCTATATTGTATACATAGTAAAATACAAGGAGTGATCAAAATATATGGTGATATGGTGAATGTTTAAATTTTTTTAAAACTGTAATAAAAGATACTTTGCCATTAATGTCCCTGGAAATACTTCCCCTTGCTTAAAACACATGCTCCTGAAGCAGTTCTAGAGTCCCCTTCTGCAAGTGTCTTTAACAGCTGTGATCAGAAGCACAGTGTCTCTCTCTGCCAAGGGAAAGGCAGTCTCACAGATATACTGAGGTGTGTCCTCACCCTCCTTATTCACCAGCTCTTGCACTGAGTGACTTCCACCTTTTCCCCAAAGACAAAATGACCGGGACAGGTAAATGCTTCAAATTATTTCATTCAGGCGTCGTGAAGTCAACTAAGAACAAGAAAGAGGACTTCCAGGACTGCTTGGGACAATGGCAAGGGTAGGATGAGCGAGCTAGAAGTGAGGGGAGTGTTTTGAGGGGCGTTAATAGCAATGTGTCCTTTACGATAACACACTTTCAAAATTTAAACATTTATCACTATTTCAGTCAAACCTTGTACACACACCACACACACACACACACACACTCCCTATATGCCTGGACAGAGTCCAGACTTGAAGAGAACAAAACAAATTAAATTTAGGAGAAGAAGCAGCGGGTGACTGAGGAGGATGTGGAGCTGGTATGTCCTCTGCCTGAGTCGCTCCTGTTGCTACTCGCTCAATACTGCAGACCGCTAAGCCTGAGAGAAAAGCTGTATTTTGGGCCCGGGCCCTGGGTGGGAGGCTGAGAGGCTGCGTCTGCAATGCCCTCCCGCTGGTAGAGCCCAGAGGCAGGGCAGGGCGTTTCCAGCAGAGACAGGAAGTGCGTGCGAGTCTCTCCCGTCTTCTGCAGTTTCGGGATTCAGTCATGGGACTCCACCCTTAGGATTTTATCTTCTCCTCGTCCAGGCTCTCCCTCTGAACACCACAGTCAGATGAACGCCTCTTCATCCGCAGAGAGGGACTTCGAGTTCCTCGTGAGTTTTTGGAAATAACAAACCGTACAGAAACCATCGCATCTCCCTAGTTCCTTTCACTTCCATTTCACAGTCCTTATAGTATCCAGTGCCACCTGTAAGAAGCACACTCCAACAGAGACGGCAAGAGACACAACAAAACCTTGGATCAACTGAAAAGCAAATCTGAAGTAATATACTAGGAAGTATAAAGTAGATGCTGTGATATAGCACGGGCATGAATTAAAAAAAGAAAAGAAGGAAAATTCAGAAGCACAGCAAACCAAAAGTATATTTTTAAAATCTTACTTGATTACAAGGAAAATAAATATATAATCTCAACAAGACTGGATCATCTGAACAGCTAAAAGCCATGCACTTTTGGTACTAAATTTCCTGAGCAAATTCATTTCATAAGCTTGGTAGAAATGCCCTACCGAGACTGAAAAGGATAACTCCATAAATCTATAAGCCCATTTCATGTATAAGCAGAAATTTACAACTTCTAAGTAAAATATTAGCAAATTGAAATAAGCAGTATACTCAAAGAATAAGAAACCAGGACACGTTTGATTTGATTTCAAAATGTAAGGATGGTTCAACATCAAGAAATCTATCAACATACTGGTTACGCTGCTCAGGAAGGCAGGAGAAATCCCATGTTTTATCAGTAGATGCAGAAAATGGACAGTAAAGCTCAGCAAGCATGTGTAAATGCAGTGTGAAGTAAAATCAGATTAAGAAGAAAATATTTAAATAGGATGAAGTCCATGTAGCTTGCCCTGAAGCTTGTACACTGAGGACTAATAAGAAATAAGGTGCAGGAAGAACTAAATTACATGACCGCCATACCGGGAAAGGTCTTCTTTTCTGGTTTTGCCAGAGGCCGCTAAGCCCCAAGGTTAGCACCCACCTTGTCACAAGTAAAGCAGAATCAAAGGCAGCCGCCTTCCGGGGAAGGAGACTCACTGGGTACAGGCTGCTAAAGCCCCAGCCTCAGCTGGCGAGCAACCAGGAGCCACAGCGTCCCCTGGCTGTGTCCATGCTTAACTCCACCGTGTGCACGGGCCGCTCTTCAGAGTAAAAGGGCGGGGTCTTCGTCGTCAGGCTCACTGGTAGGTACAGATGGATGAGGGAAGCCACAAATGAGGTCATTATGAATGTCTGACCGAAAATAATAAAATAATACACAACTCATATTCATCCTATGTTCCAGGAAGTGTTCTCATTTAATCCTGGGTGCAACCTTGTCAGAGAAATGCCCTCAATATTCCCATTTTGCAGACAGGAAAGCAGAGAAAGGAGAGATGAAATAAGTGCCTAAGATTGCCAAGGAAGCCAAAGGGAATCCGGAGCCAGAGAATTCAAATTCAGAGCCTATGCTCCTACTCCTCTTCACATTACCCGTGTGGGAGATCTTTCCATCACCCTGGACGGAGGGGCTCAGTTCTTGAACAAGTCCATCCTTGAAAAGTCAATATGCAAAGCCTGTATCATCCAATCAGAATGTCAATAATGCTTTCATTTTGTTTTACACTGGATCACATAATTTTAAAGTGTCGGATTAAATGATTGAAAATATTCTAGAAAATTACAGAAGAGAAGAATTGCTGTATTTAGTGCATAAACTTTAGCTGAATTGCAGCAATATATAGAGTATTGGCACAAAAACAGACAAAGGGTCGTGGGAACAGAGTCGAGATACACCACATATACAAGTGTATGTGGCACCGCGACTTTTGATAGAAGTGGCGTTTATTTCTTTGGGAAAGTATGGCTTACCTTGGAAATGACAGTGGGGTCACTCTATCGAATCATATCACAATTAAATTCCAATAAGCAATGCTGAAATTTATAATGTCAAAAAATAGAAAGCCTAGAAAAAAGTAAAAGAGGACTTCATATAATCTTAGCATGGGAAAAAAGAGAAACTTTTCTCTGTTTCTAAAAACAAAAAAGAGAAACAATAGCTTGAAAAGGATAATTCTGTGCTCGAAAGAATTCGTTGTTTAGGCAGGGCACCAAAATCCTCCCAATGTTAAAGTGCAAGAGAGAGATTGGGAAAATGCACTGCATTAGATATCAGAAACAAACAGATAACTCCCCAAAAGATAAAAAGAGGTGATGATGTATAATAAAAGGTAATTTAACGAAGGCTGTATACAAGTAATATACTTAGGAAGATTTACACCTCACAAAATGTCAGAGAACTGCAATTAATTAAAGAAATGAGTAAAATTGACAGAAACTAAAATTAGTAACCTCAAGCATTTGTGGAGACACAGATCATGGATATATTGGCCATTTGTGAGAAAGTAGGTTCCTACAATTTTTTCAGGCTGTACTTCATCAAGAATAATTAAAATCGGGCTGCGGATTTAGTTCAGCGGCACTGCGCCTGCCTGGCAAGTGCAAGGTTGTGAGTTCAATTCCCGGTACCGGAAAAAAAAAAAAAAGAATAATTAATATTAAGCATACATTTACCATTTATCAAGCAATCCTTGGTAACATAGACAAAATAAAACAAATACAATGATATGCGTTACATATGTTTGCAAACATTATTTTTAGCAATAAAGTTAGGCCAATAGGATAAAAGCTGAATGATTCATTTTCCATCATGAAAAGAATGTGATAAAACAGCAACAAATGAGAAAATGTGCCCATCGGCTGTTCAGTTTTAAAAGCAAGTTTTCACATAACAAATAGGAATGAACTTTTTTCTTGTAAAATAGTAAAGAAAGCTAGACCTTCGGCATGTGTGCTTGTGTGAGTGCGGGACAGTGTGCAAGACCCTGTTCAAGCTGCTGACCTCTCCCCTACTTGGGTGGGTGGGGCAGATGGGGCAGCCATTTAAATGCAGGGGTCCCTGCATTCTAGGTCTCTGTGGAAACACAAATGTGACATTTGAAATTAAATTATTCATAGTCTTTTTGTGACAGGGTCTTTCTATGTAGTTCAGGCTAGCCTTAAACTCATCTGTAGCCCAGGCTGGCCTCGAACTTGCGGTGACCCTCCTGCTTCAGTCTCCCAAGGGCTGGAATTACAGGGATATGCCAAAAATATTTATTGTCTTTTTTTTTTTTTCGGTACTGGGAATTGAACTCACAACCTTGAGCTTGCTAGGCAGGCGCTGTGCCACTGAGCTAAATCCCCAGCCCCAATATTTATTGTCTAACTTACTTGGTATAGAAATTTGCCAGAGAGTCTATTACTAGGCTGAATTGCTCTGTAGAATCGAATATTTACATGTCCTATTTCCCTCCTGTCCAGTGTATCTTCTACTGATTAAGTCCTCTTAGAATTAATGCCTAGTATGAATAACAAGAGTTGTCCACTCCTATTTACCTGAGGATGTTAAGGCCCAGAGATGTTAAATGTTTTCCTCAAAGTAACACAGCTGTATGTGCATAGTTTGAGTTATATATTAGGAAAACATTCTTACCCTATTCTCAATTCATTATACCAGTTTCATGAATGCTCCTATGTGCAAAGTTCTTACATAGAATTTGATAGAATTATAGAAGGAAGAAGGAAGGAAGGAAGGAAGGAAGGAAGGAAGGAAGGAAGGAAGGAAGGAAGGAAGGAAGGAAGATGCTTGTAATGTTCATGTATGCAGCCCTTTTCAGGTCTGAGGTCAGTCAGCTAACCTGCACATCTTTGTTACTTTGACGGTGGCAGGATTGTGGAAAGTTGCTTTTTGGGGACTAGAAAGACTTAGCAAAAATTTGTGGCTCCTTAGATACCTAACTCACTCCTTATCTACTTGTCTTGCTTTCTCCTGACAATTCTTTGAAGCTAGACAGAGAAATAGAAATCTAAATAACTCAGAGCCACTCACTTTGATAGGCAGGCCACTTCTGAAATAAACAATTCATTTCCAGTGGGAAATTAATTCTCATTTAAGTTTTCAACATAAAATTCCTGTTTTAGAAGATACATATCTTGCATACCCATGCCAACAATGTGCTTTTTGGACTGAGTTTTTGGGGAATCAGCAATATTTCATAATCCTTCACAGGTACAATGGATATATAACAAACAGGAAATTAAACTGATTAGAAGTTTTTATCTCATCTGTTTGGACCTTGCTATAGTAACTGTGGTCTTTGAATCTGAGATTTAGCTAATTTAACTGGTTCCTTCAAAATCTTGGACCCATTTATTTTTAATAATAGCTGCAGTATATTTCCAGGAGGGTGATCCTCTCAGACACCATTTCTGTGAAGCTACTGGCCCTAACGACTGTGTCTTCCACATTGTTACAAAGCTTGCTTTCTCTAGTCCTTCTAAAAACTTCCCTATAGAAATGGATTCATTTTTTGCTAACTTGAGGCTGCCGAAAAGATAAATTTTTCTAAGTTTCTAACTTTTTAGAAAATGAGAAAAATAGCTAATGTTTGAAAGTAAACACTGATTGCAGAGAAAACAGGCTCTTTCAGATCTTCAGCTGACTGTCTCCAGAGCTAGCACACAAAATCTCTTAATCTCTGCTGGTGGATATCGTATTCAAGTTGTATCTATGAGCGCATTTTCTCAGCATTGATACCAAGTTCCAAATCAATTCACTGTTCGCTCAGCTCCTAACGCAGACTATCTCCCAAGGTTTCATTCTTTCAAGTACTGCCAAACTCTGACCTGAATTCTCAATATTCTGGTTTGAGAGGCAAGGAAGTCGTGAATTTCTCAAATCAGTCATAGATAGACTGCAATAAGCTTTCCTCTGCATTCGTGATCCCGGCACTAGGAAGGCCCCCGAGTTTGACCTTGACTCATCACTCATTTTTCAAGAACACACACACGGTATTATACAAACAGAGCCCGTGTCAACCCCACAGCGTTGGCTTGCTCTGGATTTCTTTGGCCGTTTCTGCAGACAGGGAAGTTTCCTGGGCTCGTAAGAAACACGTCGAACACATCTCTTCATCCCAGCATCTTTCACAAAGATGCGTTTCAGATTGACAATGACTTCAAAACATGCAACACAATTTGGATAGAGGTTTGTCCATTGCTAATTATAAACTGCCCAGTAATTATCAGGCAATTGTCCAACTCTTGTGTAGCTGAAGCCCATTTTATCACCAATTATGAGCCTGAATATTCTTACAGAGATCTCAGGTCAAGCTCCATCCGGCGGGCATGTTTCCTGTTTGATGTAAGATATCATTTGATAACCCTCTCTGAAATAAATATTGTATTTTCCAGTGAGAATCTATGACTCAATTTAAAAGTTCAACCTGTCCTGCCAAAAAATATTTTCTTTCTGAGTTTGATTTTTATGCAGATCTGGTATATAGATGGAGAGGTCTATCTGTCTTTTACTGTTTCAGAGTAACTGTATACTAAGGAAAAAAATAAAATCTAAGGAGCCATGACTAAGACTGTTGGCTGAACCCCACTTCTCTGTGTGTGTGGCGTGAACGATATGTACTTTAGGCTTAAAGTTTGTTGGAGAAGCGAATTCTAGACCCTGCCCTACTGCACATATTTATTTAAGGAGCACAGCAAGACAGGAAACAAAAACGAGGGAACGGGTAGCATATAAACAGTGCTTTATCCTGGCCTATGTACTTGTCTTTAGGATACTTTTTCTTGCAAAAAAAGCAGGAGTGTGCTGTCACTGTGCTCTTGCACAATTTAGCCAGAAGAGAAAAGAGACTTTAGGTACAAGTATATTGCACTCGAGTTGGGTTAGCGAAACAGGACCCCTTTTTAAAATTTCCTCTATGTTTCTCATTCCTAAAAGTAGGATTTTCTGGTATTGCTCTCCTTGCTAAATTATGTGCAAGGAGATTCAAAACAGAACTGTGCATCCTTGGAAAACGAAAATGATTCCTCTTGCCCACCCTTCAAGAAAGTGACTTATTTAGTGTGTACACGAACAGTGCAAAGCAAGGGGTTCTGGCGTTTCATGTAATTGAGTTATAAACAAGAGGATGACCACGTCCTGCTGCTGCCCGACGGGTGTTCATGGATGTGCGAACTCTCTCCACGTGTTCGCTCCATGTCCTTCAGAACGCCCGCCGTGGAGATGAATCATGAAGGTATGTATTAGGCTGACAGTCCTAGAAAGTACAGAGACCAGAAGCCAAACCCAGGAAACAGCATTTCATTGACTCCCCGGCGTACTGCTAATTGATCCCAAACCTTTCATTACTGTCTAATGCAAGGCAAGGAGCGCGGAAGCATTTAGAAAATGACTTCCCTAAAGCCAGAGAAATTCCAGGCCTTGGGAACGGTAGTTTCTCTGTTCCTGTATTGTCACGCTGATTCTAAGTTTATCTTTCCTTTCAGGTCACTTGGAAACCCCCGCTAGTGCAGAACGGTGACATTCTGAGCTATGAGATCCGCATGCCTACCCCCCACGTCGTAATAACCAACGTGAGCCTGTCAGTGTTGAGTCAAATCATCACTCACCTGGTTCCTTTCACCAACTATTCTGTCACCATCGTTGCCTGCTCAGGGGGGAATGGGTACCTAGGTGGCTGCACAGAGAGTTTGCCTACCTTGGTGACCACCCACCCTGCTGAACCTCAGGGCATCAGTCCCTTGTCAGTGATTCCACTAACTGAGTCCTACGTGGGAGTTTCGTGGCAGCCACCGTCCAAACCTAACGGACCTAATTTGAGGTAAGAGAAATGCGCTGTGCTTCTGAATTCTGCCACTGTCTTGTCTCTGCCAACGTAGGAAGAAGATGCATACTCTCATCCGAACAGAGCTAATTCTAGTCATTCAGTATTACATTGTATGCCGACTTCCTTGGAACCCTAAATTGAACAAGGCAGAAATAGCAACATAACATTGAGAACTAAAAACCTTCCAAAATATTCTTCTAAGTATTCCTTTCATAATCCTCTTGATTTCTGAAATATATTTTTAGTCTGTTAGCAACCCTGATGCATGTTCTGTGTGATACAGTTGTACAAACATGTCTCAGAATTCTAAAGCTAGCACTGTAATGCTCTGACACATTGTTATTATCTGGAAACTTGCAAAGAATGTGGTCAGGGATACAGATAAGATGAAAGAAACCAGTTGTGATTCTAAAATGGCTTTATAGCAACCCGAACTTGGTACCCAGCCAAGAATGCAGAGTTGATAATTTTATCATTGTTTATAAAGTATTGATGGTAGATGTCATAGGAAATCATTAACTTGGTAAGCTTTTTTGTATTTCTACTTTGTGTGAAATGCGCAGTAAATGTTTAGCAAATGTGGAATAGAAAAAACCTAAAATGTTATCATTCTCACTGGTAATCATACAATGCGAAACTAGCTGATTGTTTGCAGTTAATTGAATATGTGACAATCGAGCCAGGAAAATAAATGTTTATCTGGGAAAACTTCATTACTGTAAAGTTAAGATGTTATTCCTTATGTTTGTGTACATGCATCACACACTCACACACGCCGCAAAGCAACCTGAATTTCGGTAATAACATTAGTCAAGATAATCCTGATGTTCCTGCTTGTCTTTTGCTTTAGATATGAGCTTGTGAGACGCAAAATCCAGCAACCACTTGCATCAAATCCCCCAGAAGATTTAAATCTGTGGCACAATATTTATTCAGGAACTCAGTGGTTTTATGAAGATAAGGGTCTTAGCAGGTGAGATTACAAAAACTATAAAAACAAATGCTGGCATTTAGTTTGGGGCATGTTGAATAGTTCAAAGTACCTGAGTGTCTTCATTGTGTGAGTGTGTTATCAGTTATGCAGTAGAATAGGCTTGGCTATTATCTGCAGCATTAATCATTGGGCTGTAACGTTCAGCATGCTTAATGTTTGCCATCTTAACTGCATGCTGAAAAGAATCCTTTGAAGTCACACGTGTAGATGTTTGAACCTTAACCTGCTGCCTTTGTCACAGCTCTGTCCAGACCTGAAACTTCATCGAGGAATTTGGACATATTGAACATACGCAAACTGTGGAAATTACCGGGCATTTGTGAAATGCTTGCTGTTTCTGGGAAGGAATTGGTAGAAGTCATTGATTCATTCCACACCAAAAACAAAACAAAGCAGAACAAAAAAATTCACTGAGTTAACAGGATTGAGTCTTGAAAGGACTCTGCCTGAAGTTCAAAGAAGTTGAGAAGAGGGCAAATGGCCAGTGTTTGAGGAGAGCTTCCTGGTAGAGGGAGGTCTGGATTCTATTGCCTCCCGGGCTAGATAACTATCTTCAACCTCAGGGAAATCTCTTCACTTCTCCGAGCCTCTCTTTTTATTCCCTTGACTTTTCTGAGATAGAGTCTCATTATGTAGCCCAGGTCCAAATCTGAGATTTAAGGAAAATAATAAACCCACACAAATTAAATTAAAATTGAAATGTGAGTTCCAATCAACATACCTAGGATAGCTGCTCACAGGAGGGAAGAGTGCCTACAATGGTATGATGTGAAGGGGATATTTTAACTAGTCTTACCATGCTGATTATCAAAGAATTTTTTTTTTCTTGCTAAGACTGGAAAAGATTTTCGGTTTTTATGCAAATAATGGCTACATCCCTTGTAAATTGCTCATAGTAAATATATATGTATATAATTTGTATATATTTGCTTTCTTGGCATTCAAAACAAATGCACAAGTCTTCATATTGGAGGAAGGGGGGCTGGGGATTTAGCTCAGGGGCAAAAGCGCCTGCCTGGCAAGCGCAAGGTCATGAGTTCGGTTCCTGGTATCGGAGAAAAAACAAAAACAAACAAAAAAAAACATATTGGAGGAAGGATTGTTTCTAGTCTTCTATCTTTCCTAGGTTCAAAAGTGCTCAGGGTCCCTTTCCCTCAAGTGGTGTCTCAAAACCAGATGAAATTAGAATTCGTCCACTGGGGGACGCTGTGACTTCCTGTTTAAAGGAATTGATCTTGTTTGGCAGGGTGCTTGCCTTGCTCACCCTGCAGCAGCCAGCTCTCAGGGTGCCCAGTGGGGGTACAGCTCCTTCATGCTCCCCCCATTTCCCATCTGCAGGGGCATTAGTTCCTGGACGCCCATAGCCCTGGAAAATCGGAGTCCATGATTCCAAAGTGTATTTGAAATTGTGTAGTGTTTACCTGTAATTTTCCATGCCCTTGGTACTCTACACTCTAAATCATCTCTAGATTATCATAGCACCTAGTACAACGTAAGTGCTATGTAAATAGTTGTTACATCAGATTGTTCAGGGAATAGTAACAGGAAAATAGTCCATGTATTGTAACAATTGCAATTCTTTCCAAATGTTTTCCATCCATGGTTGGTTAAATCTGAGGATTCAGAACTCAAGGACATGTAAGGGGATGTATTTGTCTTGCTGATTTTCCTGTTAGACTGTCTATACTTCATTTTTAATTTAATTCTAATAATTTTAGGAGGAATGTATTGTTTCCAATTCTCCCCAGTTTCAGACAGTCCCTACTTCTTAACTTACAGCTTTATAAATAAAGGTAGTATTGAAAGATTTCCTGGGCTAGGGATTTCGCTCAGTGGCACAGCACCTGCCTGGCAAGCACGGGGTTGTTAGTTCAATTCCCGGTAGTGGAAAAAAAAACAAAAACAAAAAAAAATTAAAAAGATTTCCTGCTGTATTGGCTTTTCATCAGCATAGTTGAATTTAGAATCAACTTTCAAATGACAGTTCTCTTGATAGAAAAGGTACAACTAATATAAGACTCACGGGGCATCATTTTATAAATATATTTGTGAGAGTAAGTATAAATTAAAGTCAATTTCCTTATTTAACTAGTGTATTTTGGTCAGTTACATGTTTATAATATACAGAAAAACACCCCAGTTTAATCCAAAATAGCATTATACCCTGAATTTCAGATCATTCTAGTAATTTTTTTCTTTTTATATCTACCTATGCCAATTGGAATGCTGAGCCAATTACCCAGATAATTTAGTTCCAGTAAAAATGCCTTTTATTCTCATGATCGTCTTGCACAAGGGGTAGTTTTTGTCTGAATTACACAGCTAGTAGCCTCCTTGGTGAATTCTGCTCTCGGTATAGCGGTGGACTCAGTGTAACTGCGGGTTTATACTACTTGTCAGTTTCTAACTTTTCTTCCTCCATAATTCTGTGCAAAGTGGCCAAGTTATGGTTGTTGAGGGAACCATAACTTTGGATGTGCTGACATTTTCATCACTTGGAAAATCTGGCGAACGTGCCGTTATCGTCTGAGGCTGAGGACGTGAGTGGGGCAGGTTTAACAAGAGGGCGGTGAACCTCTTCGTGTCGAACATCAATCTCCGCTTAGAATTTGCAGCACCCAGCACTGCCTTGGCTCCTGATGGTCAGATAAAGCTGCAGGAAATCCGGAACAGTGTGTCGCCCTTTTTGCTCTGTCTTTAAAGAAGAGAAAATAATGTATGAGAAATCATGGAAATATTTCCTATTTCAGGGAATGAGCTGGCTTGTAGATTATCGTAACTTGGCTGTCACTACATTTCTGAAGGGAGACATTCTACCCCCGGTCCTTTCATTATTTATAGATTCCTCAGTGCATTTATTTTGCAATGACAGTTTGGATAGAGACCTCGTGGAACTCCTCGGGAATCTGCTAATTTCATTGTCTTTTATAAATAAAATACAGGCTAAAACAATACCACAAAATAAATGAAAATATCCAAAATTAATATATTTCATTTTATTTTCAAAGAAGAGTTGAACTTGTTTTTAAGATCTAAACACTTACACTAAGTAAATGGCAAACCTAAGTTCAAATCTTATTGACATAGATTCTAATGCATTTTTTAAATGCACTAGAATGAAATGCTTCACACCCTAAAAGAGGGTGAACTTTCTGTGGAGGAAGATGTTCAAGGGAATACAACTTTCATTCCGTTCCTTCGTAATGAGACTAAATGTGCACAGGGAACCGTCCCCGCTTAGCTAATATGGAAAGACGGGGACAGTCCCACGACATGTGTTTCTGTGCTCTACCGGGTTCCCGCTGGAGCTGTTCAGTGCAGAAGTGCACGTTGGACGCAGCCATGATCAGTGAAGGGCCAGTCTTCTCCCAGAGTTTCTAAAACGACGTTGAGGCTGGGGATTTAGCTCAGCAGCACAGCACTCGCCTGGCAAGCTCAAGGTCGTGAGTTCGACTCCCAGTACCGGAAAAAAATAAAAATAAAAAAAATAAAACGAGGTCGATCCTCTTGTCTTTTCCTTCATCTCAAACTGTGAAGAAAAGCCCGGCTTGGTAATGAACGCCCATGTCCTTCCACACTGGCATGCTGTCTCATAGCAATGCGCTTAACTGAAAATGAGCCAGAAGGTGCCCATTTCATGTGCAAATTAAGTAGACAGAGTCGCCGAGCCATCCCTGTGCACTGAGATTTGCATTCTTGCTCTAAACTTTGCTCGTGCCGTCCTCTCTCAGTGCCGCCACATTACAGCCCGCCTCATGAGAAGTGCGTCTCTGAGTGTGGAATGATGTGTGTGGTCAGGGAAGGCTTTTTCCTGTTTGTTTCTTTCACCTTTCTTTGTGTTTCTTCATCGTGTTGATGACAAGGTGAAGCTGAGACAGAAATGATCACAGACCGATCGGAGGTGTGGCACTCTGGTAGTGTAAGTAGGAGAGCTCCAGAAACAGAATAGCAGCGACTTCTCACCATCTGAAAAGAACCATATTATAAACACTTTCCAGTGTGATAATCACCGCTCTTCAATCCAAACACAAACATCCTCAGCAGCATCTTTAGAATCAATAAGTGATTTAGTCGCCATGCACCTGCAGTCAAACAGTTGTAACCACTGCCGGCTGTGGCGTTGGAGCAGCACTGCGTTTTGTCTGCTTATTTCTGTATTTGGGCGGCGATGCAAGAGGTGAGGAGCAGGTTTCCCACACCCTCATTTACGTGCTTGTCCCCAAGCGTGCTTTGGGCGGTGGCCGATATGAGGAACAGAAAGTGGGAGGAAGAAACCACGAAAGCGCCTGCGTTTTCAGAAGCACGATTTGTATCTGTGACAATACTGACATGTAAATTCTGTTAGGACATCAGTGAAGGTGACACAGTTTTAATTCTGATGAAAATAACACGAAGCGTTCTGCAGCTGCACTGGAGAAGTTCACTGGTTCCCCAGTCACACCAGCCCATCTCACCACCCAGTCTTCGCACATTTTAGCCTGGAATGATGTCTTTCATAGGACGGGTGCTGTCACTGGACAAAATACCACCCATTACCTAACCCTGCCCCAAATGTCACTTCCTCTACAAAGGCTTCCCTGAATAGGTGAGATTACTACGGGCTCTGTCTGAGGTGTGGTCAAAGGAAAAAGCAATAAATGAATATAATTTTAGATATTCTCAAAAAAACATATTTCCACACATCTTTATATGCTCTGTGGGACACGAGCATTTTATCTGAGAGATCAGGTTCATTACGGTTGGCATTTGGCACATTGTTAACATGCCAGATATTCAATAAGTATTGAATTATTGAATTCAATTATTGAATTATTCAATACATAATTCACATTGTTAAATTCAATGAATGAACAAATGAATGAAGTTATGATATATTGAGCATGAAAGAACAATATAATTTGTGTTTGATATATTTTTTCAAAGAAGAATTTTGGTAAGTTTTGCCAGGGATCATTTCTCTCCTGGACAGATTTTTGTCTCGCTAGCTTACCAAATTATATATGACTCAAAATTTTTGAGCTTGATGACTTTAGTGACTATGAAAGCTACGTCCATCCATTCATAAAATTGTAAGTTCAGTAAATAGATTAAAAATTACATCATCAAAATAGTATTTAGTTTTCTAATGTGAATAATGACAACCAAACCTGAAATGAATATTCTCATATATATATATATAAATACCATAGTTCTGTCTACAGCAGGAAAATGTTTACCATTTGCTATGGGAAAGAAAGTTGGATGACAGTCCCAGTTATAATAATGCAACATTCCTAAATAGGACTTCAAATGATTGGTTTGACTGACTGCAGTACAGACTAATACAATTATTCATTTGAAATAGTACCTTCTTCTGTACTTCAGTACGGGTCTAGAGAACACAATTAGCATTCAGGGGAAAGTTAATTTATAAAAAAAAATCCTATCTCCAGATAGAGTTAGACTCACAGGTACTAGGGCATAAGATTTTTAGGGCAGACACAATTCAGTGCATGGCAGCATGCAAAGGAGGAGAGAGACAGAGAGACAGAAAGAAAAGGAGGGGAAAGAAGGAGACCGAGAGAGAAGAGAGGAAGAGAAGACAATGAACATCTGAGAAGAGATGACAAAGGGGAGTAAGTAGAAGATGAAAACTTAGCACTTACAGGAGAAATGGGTAAATAGGAAGCCTCCAACAGTCACTGAGTCTTTAGCCCTGCAGCTACAAGAGTAAAGCAGCATCCTTAAACACAGCTGGGACCAAACCCAGGAAACCTGTCTGGGTGCCTTGAGTGGGAAGCAGGTTGAAGCGAGCAGACATCTACCTAGGTGACAGTGGATGCGCCGAGCATCCTTCCTGTGAAGTTCTTGCTCACACCCTGCAAACAGCTCTGCCCCCTTTGCACCATCATGAGTAGAGGTGGGGCCCACAGAGGCACATACTGTACCCCTGCTTTGGAGGCAAAGGAGGGTGGGGATCCTGATCCCACAGTGGGTCCCCAGTAGGTGCTGATGATCTGTAGCCAGTGTCTCCACTCAGTGGCCACATGTTTGTTGCTCAGTATGCTGAAGCAAGTGCCCCCATATGAATCACTGTCTAGCCATCCCTGGCTTGTCCAATAGACAACATTTTCCTGTATAGGCAGTGTTACACTAAGCAAAAGTAACCTGGAGGCTTTTGCCTGGATGAGTCAAAAGGGTATGACATAGGACTTGGAAAGTCTTCCTTGTGTCACACACCCCCTCCTAGATTCTACTCCTGCAAAGTGGCCTCAGTGTCCCCACTAGTGACTCTAGGGAACATGTTTACACCATGGCCACACACAGATTACTAGGGCAGAGCTCTCAGAGAGAGGATGCTATATGTGTCAGTTACAGGTACAAGTTCATTTGGGGCTTTATCTGCCTGCCAATGAGATTGTGAGGAAGAAGCTCAGGTAGAGGAAGAAGATGGTGACAAGAGGTTCTGATATTGAAACTGGATGAGTTTCCCAAATGAAGAGCACAAAACACTCCAGATGAAATTCAGATAGAGAGCTGGCAGGTTGCCAGGTTCATGACTGCATCTTGAATTGAGTCATAATCCTCCCCACTTCTGAAAACTGTGAGAGTGTGAAAACGGTAAACCACAATTGTTTTATGGAGGGGTATTTGCTTAGCATTCTTAAAAATAATATTTTCCCAACACTTTGATTAAGGCCGGAGACATAAAACTAATGATACATTATGTGTAAGGAGGAGAAAGAAAGTATTGTACTTTCTAGGAGGGAACAGAAACTGAGCACTTTGTGGAAGGTAAAAAGAAAACCCTGTATTTTGT